GTGAGCGCGTGTGTGCGTGAGCGCGTGTGTGCGACGTGTGTGCGTGAGCGCGTGTGTGTGACGTGTGTGCGTGAGCGCGTGTGTGCGGCGTGTGTACGTGAGCGCGTGTGTGCGACGTGTGTGCGTGAGCGCGTGTGAGCGCGTGTGTGCGTGAGCGCGTGTGTGCGACGTGTGTGCGTGAGCGCGTGTGTGTGACGTGTGTGCGTGAGCGCGTGTGTGCGACGTGTGTGCGACGTGTGTGCGTGAGCGCGTGTGTGCGCGAGGTGTGTGTGTGTGTGTGACGTGTGTGCGTGAGCACGTGTGTGCGGCGTGTGTGCGTGAGCGCGTGTGTGCGAAGTGGGTGCGTGACGCGCGCGTGTGTGCGACATGTGTGCGTGAGCGCGTGTGTGCGACGTGTGTGTGTGAGCGCGTGTGTGCGACGTGTGTGCGTGAGCGCATGTGTGCGTGAGCGCGTGTGTGCGACGTGAATGCGTGAGCGCGTATGTGCGACGTGTGTGCGTGAGCGCGTGTGTGCGTGAGCGCGTGTGTGCGACGTGGGTGCGTGAGCGCGTATGTGCGACGTGTGTGCGTGAGCGCGTGTGTGCGTGAGCGCGTGTGTGCGACGTAGGTGCGTGAGCGCGTATGTACGACGTGTGTACGTGAGCGCGACGTGTGCGTGAGCACGTGTGTGCGATGTGTGTGCGTGAGCGCGTGTGTGCGACGTGTGTGCGTGAGCACGTGTGTGCGATGTGTGTGCGTGAGCGCGTGTGTGCGACGTGTGTGCGACGTGTGTGCGTGTGTGCGTGTGTGCGTGAGCGCGTGTGTGCGTGAGCGCGTGTGTGCGACGTGTGTGCGTGAGCGCGTGTGTGCGTGAGCGCGTGTGTGCGACGTGGGTGCGTGAGCGCGTATGTGCGACGTGTGTGCGTGAGCGCGACGTGTGCATGAGCACGTGTGTGCGATGTGTGTGCGTGAGCGCGTGTGTGCGACGTGTGTGCGACGTGTGTGCGACGTGTGTGCGTGTGTGCGTGAGC